GGCGGCGGGACGTCCGGAAGTGTGGCAAGTCTAGGCTACCTTGCTGGAAATTGTCACGGCCATTCTGGCAGATGAGATTTCACAATTCGGAGCAAATATTTCCCTCCAAGTAGGAGCAATTTATTGACTGAATCCTGCTGCAAAGACTGGGCAATTCAGAGTTACCCACTAGCAACGGAAAAGTTATGACATTTGCGGGTTTGGCATGAATTCTAGCACGGGCTGATCGGAGTCAAGAATAAGCACATCCTGTACCATCCACCCTTTGTTTGCTTTTTCCATTTTTACAATACCCTTGCCACCTTTATGCCCTACCCTCTAGACCAAACAGTCCCAGATTTGCGCTCGATACGTCTGTCACTTTGGTAACATGAAATGCAATGTCCAGGTGCGGGCAGCCAGGCCAATTGTAAAGTGCAGTAACGTTTTTAAGGATGAGGATACACTAAATGTTTAGTTGGCTGCTGACAACACTGTAGACCACACCTTAGAAGGCGAGACTATTCGTACTTCTGACTCTTCATGTCCTCCCCCTACCCCCCGAGCCAATTGTTGTTCAAGCTTTTATGTGGGGGTGGTTTTCTAACATCTTTTTGTCTATGCCTTGATCGGCACCAAGAGCCATTCAGCCTTTCTTAACTGCAAACTTCTATTGGCCTCACCAGATCCTAGGCTACTGTTGGTCGCGAGGTTCAAATAGACCCTATAGCCGTCAAATCTCGTAGTACCGAAACTTTTGGAAGTGCACAAGTTGTTTGGTTGTAATATTAAAAGCACCATCTCGTTGCACAAATCTACAAAATTGTTCCCGTCTTTTGGAAATTTCCCATTCCAGTATCGTTTTATGAGGATTTCACCTGTATACATTAATCCTGGAACGGTAGTGGCATTTATGCACAATGATGTCTGTATGCCTCTTGTTCGAATTAGGGTATGTAAAAATCGTGAAAGGACGGATTGGTACTTTCGCGCTATACCATCTTCAGCACAAACTCCGCCGCTTGGTTGGCGGAAGATTGCGACAAAGTGTCCACCAGACGGAATCCCACTGTCGTCTAGCCTCGGACCTGGGACCCAACTTGCAACAGATGCATCCTCACATTCACACCGAGGCACCCCCATTCGTGGAAGCCACGCACGTAATGGGGTTGTGATAAATGCCACTTGCGCGCCTCACCAGCTCTTTACTTTCCACTCGCTTCAGTCTTTCTCCTCCTTCGTGCACTCACCGGCGAGTCGGATCATCATCATCAGATAACGTCAGAGCTCTCAGAGTCGTGAACCATTCAAGCGAACGTGACAGACCGTTTCGCGGCTCCGCTTTGCCATCGTCACAAGAGCAGGCCAACCTCGGTCGACTTGGGCGCTCCGCTCCCCTCCTCCGTTGCTAATGCGTACGATTAGGTAACAACTCTTCTGGCAAAAGTCACTTGGTACAGATGGCTCCGTTGAGTTCAGATAAGTCTACTCAAACGGCCAGTTGGGGCTGATAAATGGCGTCTCTGCTGTGGCCAATGTACAATGCCTTCAATCAGACTCCCTCCCTCCTGCCCCCCCTCCCCCTACCCCCCGTCTGGGACACCGTCAGGCCAGGTTGACTGTGTGCAGTATCGGCACACTTTCTGGTGTCGAGGCCACAAGGAGAAGCAGAAAGACAGTCTCTTCCAGACCAGACGTGCACACGCACAACCATCCAAGCGGGTGAACTGCGAGGGGTGGTTACCGGGGCAAAGACATTCTATCACACGCACATAACAAAGCATAGAGTGGAAAAAAAAGAATAGGCAAACTGACAGCCCAACAAGTCAATTAATGCAGGCATGGGATTCGGCCATGTGACCGGGGACAGAGAGAGAGTGAAAGTCATTGGTTCAAATGAATGGGGCCAGCAGTAATTAATCAGTAATTAATCATTTTCGGCCAACCCCTTCTTCTTTTCCGGCTATTGCATTGCAAAGAAGTGGGTATCCCAAAAAAGGTATGAATCGCGTTGACAATTCGACTGCGCGACAGATGCTCGTCGGGAGTCCGAGCCGAGGCGACTCGGACGAGGAGTGGCTACTCGATTGTCGCCATTCGGCCGGGACGGCGTGCGGCCCAGAGCCGGCCCGGAGACATCGACTGGCCGGGTTTGGTACAGACGCTGAGGTGAATGGGACCAAAAGCAACTGGCCTGGCGTGAGGCGTGGACGTGGGTAGGGGGCGAAGGCGACAAAAGTGGCAGCTGACGCCTTTTCAATTTTGGCCAATTTGCGAGTGATACAGAAACGGCGCCACCGTCTCCCGTCCGGACGGTACGTCAGGTAGAGAGGGAAAGAGGGTGAGGGAAGGTGAGGGAGTAGGGGGGACGGAGGAGGCGGGGCAAGAATAAACTCAGAAAGAGACGAGGTCCCAGACACGCGAACATGAATGCCTTCTGTTGTCAAGATGAAAGCCTGCCCGGGTTCGAGCTCTTCTTCGTGCAAGTGTCGCAAAGAGAGCTCCTCACCTCTTGCACTCGTGTGTCCACTTTTGCCCGCTGCTATGCCGTTGTTAGTTGAGTCTCTCCATCTTTCGTCATCCGTTATCGTCCATCTCGCAGTTTTCGTCACTTGGCCCCTTTTGGTACAGGTCCGAGCAACCCTGCACAGAAGGCCTCGAGTCCGAGGAGAAGAATGTCGCCAGTGAAGGGAATGCGGTAGATTGTCTGTCTGCAAAGAAGACACATTTATGCACAGCAAATTTGACGAATGGCAGGAATGGTTTGACGAGTGATCAGAACCAAAGTAAATGGATTCACCTTGGCAACAAGTGGTTCCCTTCGGACACTGGTCCTAGCTTTTTTGTCGACAGCCTGTGTCGGAAGGTACACAGTGAAAATTGTGAATCACTGCATCTGTGGCCAGACTGCAGACATGCATAGGCTCATTATCCGCTCCTCCTTGAATCCCGAGACTCCACCCCGTGGCATTCATGAGTTGTGAATGAATTGCATTGCGTTATTGCAATTAACGCAGAGAATGCAATGCTATTTTACGTCACATTTTAGTGAAATTCCTGAAATTCTAAGAGTCTTAGCCCAGCCAAGTGGCAATCCAGATAGAAAAGCGTGATTGTCACTTTTCGAGTTATAGCACTGAATTTTAGTTGCATAAATAAAATTCCCCATTAAATGGTGTGAAACGAAATGGGCCCACTTGTTTTTTTTACTTTCACGATTTGGATCCCGATGGGGGCTGATGAAAATCTCGCCGAAACAGGATAAGGACGACCTTTCTGGCTTGATGACATGGCGAAATTCACTAAAAACTGTTCAGCAGTTAGGGTTATGGTTCACTTTGTTAGCAAATAGGCTCCGAATAAGTGCAAAGCAAAACTTGTGTATGCGAAGAAGAGTTGCGTTTCGAGGAATCTATTGCTTCATAATTGTTGAGCTTACTTTCCCTCGAAATGGAGGTAAGCTCAACAATTGCATTCTACTGCTGGTTCCGCATTGTTTTCGCAAACGTCCACTCGCCTAAAACCTGGAACTGGTTCACCTCATCCGTTGCATGGGCCGGAAACCGACCGAACGCCGATGTTGATCAGGACACACTTCCCGTTGCATACTACTGCTGGCACTACTGCCATTTTGAGCCATTTAAGCTGGCACCTGGCTTGCTGTTGAAGACTTAATCTTGGCATAGTCAGATGTGCTATTTGTCAAAAAATAAAATTTACTTTAGCCACATTTTCTGTTCCATTTACATTTCGCTGGTTGCCAAGCTTAACCAGCCAGAATATGGCCCATTTTCGGGGGGAACTGAGAAGATGTAAGACATCGCCCGCAGGTTGCCATGCCCAGACACCCCTTCATGCCGAAGGCTGCATGCGCCAATTTTGTATCGATGCGCTCGTATTCTTTTGTGTGTCAG